GAAGAGGTCATCTGGTCCAAATCAGTCTGCTTGGACTTAAGTGATGAATCAGCAGTATGGCTATACTCATAGTATTTTGACTGAAATCTCATAGATTTTCATTTAAAATGGATGTTGGACTGACCTTTGGCCATGGATATTGGTTATCAATGACTTTGAAACCATTTAGGAAACATTTTTGAATAGCAAAGGCTTTCTAAGGTCAACTACTCATCCTAGGGGTCTATCTCTACATTGTCATTTCTCATCTCAGGAGACTGGGGCGGGGGGGGGGCGGGGGGCACAGCTGAGATTTTATAAGAAGTGACTCAGACCAAATTAATTTTCTTCTGTTTCCACTCTCCTTTCTGAGCTACAAATTAACACTCTTACAAATTTTAGGGGGGTTTTTTTCCCCTCCCAGCAAATCTTTCTTTTAAATATAAAATATGAAAAATACCCTAAAATAAATATAAAATATACATGATTATTGATTAATAATTAACTAGGGGAAAGTATTTTAAGAATGGTACAAATCCCATTGTATATAGAGAAATGAATTGACAAATTAAACTACATAAAATTAAATTTTCAATAGTATAAAGTATCACATATAAAGCAAAAGGACAAATCAACTAGAGAAAAACAAACTCATGTTTATTAAGAAATTGCCATTTCTAATACATAAAGCTATCTTAAAAATCCAAAAATAAATAAACATACAGAAACATAATGGGTAAAGGACACAGATCTCTCTCTCTCTTTCTCCCTCACATACACACACATTCACACATTGTGTTAGTCAGAGTTCTTCAGAAAACAACCAATAAGATGAATGCCAATATAGGCAGAGGTTTATTTTAAGGATTTGGCTCACACAGTTGTGGGAAGGGACAAGTTCAAAATCTGCACAGCAAGCTGGCAGACTGGAGAGTTGGGGGAGAGTTGGTGTCACAGCTTCATTCCCAAGGCAGTCTGGAGGCATAATTCCTTCTTCTTTTTCAGGGGGCCTCAGTCTTCACTTAAAGTTTCTACTTATTGAATGAGGTCCACCCACATTTGAAGGATGTTTGCTTTGCTCAAAATTTGACTTAAATGTTAATCATATCTGAAAATATATTTTCACAGCAACAAGTAGGCTAATGTTTAAGTTAAAATCTGGGTAACATGGTCTAGCCCAGTGGTTGGCAAACTCATTAGTCAACAAAGTGACAAACCGAGGCTGTGAGCCTCATGTGGCTCACGAGCCACAGTTTGCCGACCACTGATCTAGCCAAATTAACATGTAAAATTAACCATCGCAGTTCACCTATTGTCAGTTTGATGCCCATATGCCTTTAAATCATATTTAATTTTCAAATAAAAATTGACAAGATCACACTTCAGTTAACATGATAGAATTATCCTGAGTATGACTGGAAATACACTAACCCTTTCCCCAGAAGAGGATGTGAAGTCCTTAAAGTTACTATTATTCTCGATGCCCTGTAACTTATATACTCTGATGTAAAGTTCATCAGACAATGCAGCTTATGTTATATGATAAGGGAACAGGGATGGGGAAAAACAAAAGATACTTAAGATACAAATAGATATATATATTCATAACAAAACAAGGAAGAGATTCTCATATTAATTACAGTCCTGGTTGTGGTTGTTTTTACCTGGCAGGTTGACCCAACGTTTATTCTTTAATGTTCTTGACAATTAGTATTGGATTTGAGTTATAGTTTTCCATTGATTTTAATCACAGAACATGGTACTTCTGTATTCCAGACATATTCTTTCTCACCCACATTGTGAAATAGAAGTCCAATTTCCTCTTGGTAATCAAGATCAATTACTCCATCATGCACAGTAACTTCCTTCTTTGCTTGTTGGTTTGGGCAAAGTGGCCTGTTGAGGATGCCAAAGTGGCCTGGTGGCAGTCTTAACTTCCAGTTCAATGGAGTCATGTCTCCTGGTGGAAGCATTCCTCCCTTTGGAACTAAGACCTTTAGACTAGCAGAGTGTAAGTTCACAGGGTTATAAAGCAAACATTTTTCTAGCAGATCACTGGGAGTAATTGTGAGTAGTGTTATTCCCTTCCAGTTTCTGATTCCTGGATCTATACGTTCTGGCTCTAGAAGAAACAAACCATATATTGGATGCTGATATAGGATATATAAAGCCTTCTGAAGAGCCTTGGCCCAACCCTGCAAGATATTACCACCTAACAGGAATTGTAACTAGACCTTTTTTAAAAATATATATATATTATTGATTTTTTTTAAAGAGGAAGGGCGAGAGATAGAGAGATAGAAATGTCGATGAGAGAGAAACATTGACCAGCTGCCTCTTGCACACCCCCTACCAGGGATGTGCCTGCAACCAATGTACATGCCCTTGCCCGGAATCGAACCTGGGACCTTTCAGTCCACAGACTGACACTCTACCACTGAGCCAACCAAACCAGCTTCGGCTGTAACTAGATCTTTAAAACATCATTCCACTGTTTCATCAAGCCATATGCTTGAAGATGATGGGGAACATGGAAAGAACAGTGAGTGAATGCTATGAGCATGGCCCCTTGCCAGCTTTATTTGATTTTTAGTAAAAGTTTTTCAGAGAAACACAACGCTATCATGTATCATCTATCTATCTATCAATCAATCATCTGGAAGGGATTGGTTCATAAAATTAAGAAGCCTGAGAAATGCCAAGATGTAGAACCAAGAAATCTGGTGGTATAATTCAATTCAAATCTGAAGGCCTGAGAATCAGAGGAGCCAATGGGAGTAGATTTTAGTTTTTGCATTCCAGATCCGGGGAAATGAGGACAGGGTGCCGTCAGCATCTTTGGGGCCCACTCTGAGGTGGACCTGAACCAAAGCTCCATTGATCACCTGACCTTCACAACCCCCTATCTGACCAAATTGGGACAAAAAAAGTGGACCAAAATTGCGTTCTATGTATTCTGGAATCAGTATCAATTCAGACTCAGTTATTTCCCCAAGCCTGATTATTTCCTTTTCACCAGTGCATTGTTACCCTGGTAACAAACACACACACACACACACACACACACACACACACATACACACACACACACACAACACCTGTAGGTCCCTTTGGAGAAGGTTGGAGGGAGGGGAATTAACAGCATAACTTTTTTTGGCAGTGTACTTGTGTCCTTCCTCACGGGGACCTGGACTCTCTTTCACTCAAGGAGTTCTGAGTCTGTAAACAGACTCAAGTCTGACACTTGATTAAGTGTCATAATTACCTGTTTTTATGATTCGTAGTTTTGTTCACTTGATTTAGAACTCTTCTACTTATACATATCAAGTAAGAACTTAGCAGACTTGCCATCTATTTCACTTCTAAGAGAACCACAATTAACTAGCCAGAACCATAGACTCTGCTGTTCATTGTAGTAGCCATGCCCACTTAGCTTTTGGTAATTAAGTACTACCACCGGGGATCTAATTATCCTTATTGCATTAGGTTTCCCAATTCTGTGGCAGCATATCTCAATGTAATTTCTGATTGCAGGGGAAAACAATCACAGAGCTCTTTGAGGAATCTGGGGTACCCTCAAAAATATAGTTCTCACGGTCATGGTGAAAGATGAGTCTTCAGAACCCTCTCAAGGTCAGATGAGAAGATCTTAAATGACAACTCCACTCAAAGATTTTAATCCTTTTCGTTTCTTCCTATAGTAGGCTAAGGCAGTTTTGGCATTTCATCTTCATTTTGTGTAAGTCATCTCTGATCCATGGTTCAGCCAACCAACCAAACTGTTACAGCCTGTCTAAGCCGAAAGTTATAACATTAAGTTTAGAATACATTCATACTGGATCTATCTCCATGAATTTGACCTAATACACTTAATATCCATGCCACATGTATTCCCTGTTTTATGTCTGTATCAATTAGAAAAAGACATGCAGTTCTGTGTACCTCTTTTGGGACATTCTGAGATTTGAGTACATTTATAAGTCCAGAAGCAAAGAGAGATGATGGGGTGGGACCTGAAGAGAAACAGCTGTGTCGCTCAAGGCAAATATTTCAGGAAAGGTCACTGTAGCTTCCTAGGGTCAATCTCCTCAAATGGGAGTGGAATGGCTGCTTATATGGCAAAAAAAAAAATTGGCAGAATTTAAAAATTCAGCATCCCACCTTTGTCAAAATCTTCTCAAATGTCTTGATTCTAATTCCAGAAATGGGACAACTAGACACCATATGAAGCTTAATGTTGGGCTCTAAGGACATAGCACCACTTCTGTGAGGTCCCTGCACACATGCATAACTGAATCCAGGCAAGAAGAAACATCAGACAAACACACATTGGACATTCTACAGAAGCAAACCACTCTGAAAACGTTAAGGTCAGGAGAGACAAAGAAAGCCTGAAGGAATTTTACAGATAGGAGGAGACCAACAAATTATAGCAACTAAATGCAATATTGGGTCCTGAATGACATTCTGAACCAAAGACAGTGTGCTCTGCTATCAAGGACGTGAGTTGCCCAATGGGCAACTTTGAACAAGGTCTGTAGGTACTGAGGCCTTAGAGGGGGCAGGAGTTGAGGACAGAGTAGGAGACAAATAATGTAGGAATAAAACTCAGGCAAGGCAAGAGCAAATGCAGAATCATCCTTTTATTGGTTCACATTAGGCAGGTGTGTGCACACACATAGCTGCACCGGAGTGCCCAGAGCAGCCTCACATATGGGCATACAGGGAAAGAAGTTGGGAAGTGGGTTTGGAAAAGAGGTTTGGGCTCCAGGACACATGGGCACAGGGATCCTCTGCACCAGAATTCAGAGGCCTCATCAGACCTCTCAGCAGCGGAGAAGGCCCAGCAGGAGGAGCAGGAGGAGGAGGAGGGGACTGGCCATTGGTAGTCCCCCAGACAGCTCTTCTTGGCTCAGAGTCCACTTCAGCAGCAGCCTCCAGAGGACTGACCACAGCTCCCTCCAGAGCTGGAGCCCCCTCCACAGCAGCTGGAGCCCCCTCCAGAGCCCCCTCCGCAGCAGCTAGAGCCCCCTCCAGAGCCCCCTCCACAGCAGCTGGAGCCCCCTGAGCTACAGCAGCCCCCACCCCCAGAGCTTCTGTGTCTGAAGAGGCGAGGCCTGTGGGACCTGTGGTGGCTCAGGCAGCAGCCACCACCCCCTGAGCTGCAGCAGCCTCCACCCCCAGAGCTACAGCAGCCCCCACCCCCAGAGCCACAGCAGCCCCCAGAGCTGACACTGCAGCAGGAGGAAACTGGAGGGCACTTGGGGGGACACTTAGGAGGACATTTTGGGGTGCAGCACTTGGGAGGACACTTGGGAGGGCACTTGGGGACGCACTGCTGGCTCTGCTGGCAGGACATCTTGGCGAGTGGGCAGGTGAGTGGGCGTTCAGGAGCTGAAGGAGAGTCAGACAGCAAGTCAGTCCCATATAGAGGCCACCCCTGCCCCTTTTCCTTCTTGTTATCTAAGCATCATTTCTTGCTCCATTATTTTAAAATGTGTAAGTGGAGTCTTTAATAATTAAACCCTGAAACGTTTGTTATTTCTAATAGATAGACATACACTCTCAGACTTCCTCCTTTGAGCCTCCCAACTTAAACTTAAGGTAGGCAGGGATTATATCTTTTACAAAGAAGAAAACAGAGATAAAAATCAATTAGAAAAAAAAGCTGCCATCATTAAATAAGTGAAGCTCATTCTTTTTTTATCCTTTTAACCAGAAGCCTAAAACTCTGCAGTTAAGAAAATAGTTCAGAGTGCCAATATTCTCTTTTAAAAAGGAAATTCATGATTTTACCTTCCTAGATAGTTTTGTTCTGTAAAGACTTAGGCATGCAGGTTGCACATAGCCTGTGAGGCCAGCTGGTTATTGCTGCAAAGGCTAAAGAGCAGTTTAGGCGATTTGAGCTCAGACACTCTGGCTCTGGCCTGAGGCTCTAAAGTTTTCAGCACAACAAGACCTTGCATAAACATCTCAGTGATTCTCGCGTTATTGTGCCCAAATTCTCAAACAGAATCCCAGTTTCATTTCAGATACCCAGATATGTGGGTTTTCTAGAGCCCCAAAGGATCCCCTGGTCAGCTCTCTCTATCGGTGGAGAACCACCATCCCCAGCATTTTTGCATGGAGGGTAATGATCTTACTCTCAAAGGTAAAGGCTCCTCATGAAAATGGCTCACCAATGGCCAAGGCTTCAGCTCATCTGACCTCGGAGCATAGCCAACAGGATCTAAATTAGGTCCAGCACAAACACACAGCCATCCACTTCTCCCTCATGGTTCCAGTTGGTCCACTCCCACCATGCACATCCTCCCTCAGTCTTCCTCAGGCCCCTCTCCCTCCGTCTACAAGGACTCCAACACCCCTACCTTCTAGAGCCCCACCTGCCCACCAGCTCTGGTCTGAGCCTCCCTCTTGGAAGGCCCTCCTCCATTCCCAGTGGACACTTACCGGGCACACAAGCAGCACAGGATCCGTCACTGCCTCAGGAGGGAGTGAATGCTGATGCTCTGGTCCACAGGCCTTTTATCCTGGCCTTGGGCTCTGCCCTAGCCAGTGAGACAGGGCCTGGGCATGAGAGGACTGCCCCCTGCCACCCACATGGGTCCTGGAACCTGTGACTGGATGATGACTTGCAGTTCCTCCCCTGCTTCCTTCCAGGGGACCCAGCACAGCTGCTTCTGGACTACATATGACCCAGCAATTCCACTCCTCAGTATTTGTCCTAACAAATCCAAAATACCAATTCAAAAAGATACAGGTACCCCATGTTCATTGCAGCAGTATTTACAATAGCCAAGATATAGAAGCATCCTAAGTGTCCATCCATAGACCAAAGGATAAAGAAGATGTGGTGCCTATAGAAAATGGCATATTACTCAGCCATAAAGAACAATGAAATCCTGCTCTTTTTTGACAATATGGATGGACCTAGAGGCTATTATGCTCAGTGGAATAATACCATATGTTTTTATTTATGTATGGAAGCCAAAAATCAAAGCAAATGAATAAACAAAACAGAAACAAACTCATGGATCCAGAGAATAAATTGAAGGTTGCCAGATGAGAGGGAGGTTGGGGAAATGGGTGAAAAAGTGGAAGGGATTGAGAAAAACAAATGGGCAGTTATAAAAACAGTATAGCAGGGGGAATGTAAAACACAGCATAGGGAATATAGTTTAAAATATTGTAATAACTATGTATTGTGTCAGATGGGTACTAGACTAATCAGGGTGATCATTTCATAAGCCATATATATATATATATATCTCACTATGTTGATTACCTGAAACTAATATAATATTGTATGTCAACTAAAATTTTTAAAAATTAAAAAAATCATAAGGAAGAGAAGATAAAAAAAATAAAAAGACAATTTAAAAAAATGGAAACCAGGTAAAAAATTCCTGCACTCATTTTCTACCTCAGTCATCCTGGAGGTTATTGCCTCGCTTTGTTTTAGGACTTGAGTCCCCATCCTCACTTTTCTTGCCTCTCAAATCTTAATTCAATGGCTCTGGGAAGTCTCATTTAAACCAAGTTTCATCGAGTCCTCCAAGTCTTTATTACCTTATATGTAAGTGTGTATGCATATACATGTATATATGTGTGTGCATATGTATTGAATTATAGACATGAAGACCCTGGTTAAAGATTCAGACCTAATAGAGAATCCCTGTTCTGCCACCTGTTCACTGTATGATCTTGTGAAAACTTCCGCATCCTTCTTGTCCTCAGTTTTGTTGATATATAGTAGAGATAATAAAAAAAAAATAGCTCTTCAGGGGGATGTGAGAGTCAGTGAACTAATGCAAAGAAAATCTCTGGCAGAGTTATAACATGCTATATTCTCTAAAAATGCCAATATACTCACTTAAAAAAAAATATAGTTGCTTTCTAAGCAGAGTGGATCTGATTAGAAAATCAAGACCTTCCTGTTTTATTGCTAGGTTTTTAATAAGAAAATGTGGGCCAGGAATGAAGTTTTATAGAAGAGAAAGCAAGAGATGACTTGAACTGCTAATTAGGTTGAGAATTCAGATTTTTCAAGGATCATACCGGAGGTCTGGGATCAAGTCCACGGATGGGAAGAATGGAAGGTAGTGATGAGATAGTGAGACTGTCCTGGGGGCACTGCTGGAGGTAAGGCAGCTGAGGAGCAGACAGCCCTGGTGGAGGGGAGGCCGGCAGAAGTTTAAAAACAGCAGTGTCTAACATGTAATTTGTTGTCTGTTTTGTGAGTCTCTTAACTCAGTTATCTACATGAACACAGGCTTTCCTTGGGGGGAAGAAAAAAAAAGTCGAGATTTTCTATTTTTAGATTAAGGGAAAGGGTCAGAGTTTGCATTTGGGTTCATAGTAAGTAAGATAATAATAGCCCAGTATATAGTGTTGCAAGGTTATTAAACAACTAAATTAAATTACCAGATGAAGGAGAATTATCATAGAGAGTCTACTTGCCTCCAGGCTTGGGAATGAACTCTGGAATTCCCTAGAGCCTGAGTGGATGCTGATTTCATAATATCTAGGTCATGTTGTATAGTACGAACCCTATTAGTATGCAGTGGAGATATGTGCATGTGTACCTGTGTATAATTCTACTTAGAGATTACAGAGAGTATAGGAGACACTAAATATACAAATACACACACACATACATTACCATGGTTCTCTCAGCATCCAATATACCTACTATCCAGCTTTTCCTAAAATTTTCTGCCCAGAGGGGGAAAAAAATTGGCCCTATTTCTCCTTTGCTCTATTTTACATTGGGTTTCAATTCTTCATTGAGTTTTATTTCTCATTGTGTTCCATCCCTCATCCACAGGAATAATTGCTCCAGATCATTTAGGAAGTTTCATCTTGGAGTCTCCACTGTGTTCATGAAGAGCTCCCATCTCTACTGACTGATGTTTTAGGCCTAAGCAATATGACTCTTTGCTATATCTCCTATTTAGGCCTTGTTACCTCCCTTTAGAAGTGTTCTTCCTTAGCTAAAATAGGCTATGTGCTTTACTTTTAATTTGCTCCTTCCGGTCAAATGTCCCTGCTTTATTCCATAATCTATGCACTTCGAAAACAGTGCTACTCAAATATAACTTGCTGTGCATCTGTGATGAGTCCTTTGTCTCACATACACTTATAATAAACTCTTCTTGAATCCCTGACTTAGGTCTTACATCTCTGTATCCATCAACAGCTCCAAATACAGGGCTATGCAATCAATGGAAATCCATTTAAAAATCTATTTATTAATATTAGCATTAGCTTTACTTCGGTTATGCCTTAAGCCATCACCATCAGAAGTCTCACTCTGGAGTATTCACATTAAAATGCACTACTTATCATTGCAAAATTCTGCCACTGAACTGCTGCTCATGGCTCATGTTGTCTCATGAGAGTGTAGTCAAATATTGATTACTTTGCTCACACAGGTAGCTCTGATTCAGGAGCCCAGCTCACCCATTCTAAAGGTGATGAGACTTAGGAGCGATTCTGTGTATGCCTCTGTCACCACAAAGGGCATCACCTATGGTCATTTGATCTGACTTGGGTTTAGGGGATAGCAGCAGCATGATGGAACAACCTCAGACTGGTGTTGGAGCTCAGTGGCTTGGGTACCATTTAAACAGTGTGCACTACCAAAAAATAGATTTTCTGAAGAGTATGATTCTTGTGTCAGTGGGATCTCATAATCTCAAACATAGGAGGGAAGAATGCTGAGACCTGCATTCATTAACTCAAAATTCAGGGACTTTTACTCTGTGCCCCAGAGCCAGCACTATTCACAAATCTCTATTTACAGTGGCAACAATAAATTATCACTCCAAAATTACTAGAATTTGTACCTAATCATTTCTTTATAATTATTTGGGTAAAATATTTTAAGCATGGCAAAAATTGCTAATCAATTTGACCATATAGAAAAAATATCTTTATGGTAGAAAGCATCATTAAAAAGATTTTAAAAAACCATGATCTGAGGAAAAAGAAAGCACACAAGTCAGTAATAAATTAAAACTCATAATAAACAGTAAGTTCTTGCCATTTTGTAGAAAATAGGCAAACCTATCTACAAACTAATAGGCAAAGCACTTAGACAAATATCCTAGAAAGAAATACAAATGACCAATAAACTTAGACATTTATTCATGTTTGGGTATATATAAATAACCAAATAACTACATATAAAACAAGACGGCTTTTCAGGGAAGAGGTCTGTTAGATTTATTCCTTTATATTGAATTGAAAAAGACTTAAAATGAATAACAAAACTCAGTTTTGCTAAAGGTGATTAAAAAAATGGGTCTTGTGTTATTGGAAATGTACATTGGCGTGACCATTTGGATAGAAATTTGA